TCATATGAGAGCAGTGGAAAGAATTCTCAGATACTTGAAGACTTGCCCAGGGAAAGGAATTCTATTCAGGAAAAACAGCAGACTTGAAATTGAAGCATACACTAATGTTGATCGGGCTGGGTCTGTTGGAGACAGAAAATCAACCTCCGGTTACTGTACATTCTTGGGAGGAAACCTAGTCACACGGCACAGTAAGAAGCAAAATGTTGTGGCTAGATCAAGTGCAGGAGCAGAATACCGAGCTATGGCACACGGAGTTACTGAACTCTTATGGCTCAGAACTCTTCTTAATGAGCTTGGTATCAAAACTGAGGGTCCTCTCAGGCTGTATTGTGATAATAAAGCTGTGGTCAACATTGCCAACAATCCCGTGCAGCATGACAGGACAAAACATATTGAAATTGATCGACACTTTGTCAGAGAGAGAATTATTTCAGGAGAACTCTGTGTGTCTTATACTCCATCAGAGATGCAGATTGCAGATGTATTAACTAAAGGGCTGTGAACAACGTTCAAGGACTTACTTGGCAAGCTAAACATGGTTGATATCCATGCTTAGCTTGAGGGGGAGTGTTAGAATGTTAGAGTGATGTTCGGCTGATAAGAGTTCTTATTAGCCCATACTAATGTTTAACTTATCTTGTAACTGGGCCTATATTAATAGGCCTAATACTATATAATGATTTAAGTCATCTGAGTGTCCCATCACTAATCTGGGGCATCCCAGTAATTTCTTGTACTTTGTACTACATTCATATATAAATAATAGCATGGTCGACTAACTAGTATAGTTCGACATTCACTGTATTTCAGAGTTTCTCTTCTCTCTTTTGCTATTCGGGTACAGCTCCTAAGATTACATACAGCTTGGGACCAGTATTGCTTGGGCACTTTGTGCTGGAATAGTAGGGCTCGAGCTGTCTCCAATAGATGTCTGTTCTTACGCTCAGCAACTCCATTTTGCTGAGGGGTGTTAGCATAGGATGATTGGTGTAACATGCCAGCATCTTTCATGAATGAGTTCAGGGATTTTTCAAAGTATTCAGCAGCATTGTCTGACCGAAATTGCTTAATCTTCTTATCAAATTGTGTTTCAATCATCTTGCAAAAAGCCATAGTTATCYGTGGTACTTCATCTYGTCCTTTTAACAGATAAATCCATGTGCACCGAGAATAATGGTCAATAAAACTAATAAAGTAACGGAATCCATCAATGGAAACAATGGGTGAAGGTCCCCAAACATCAGAATGAATCAAATCAAAAGGAGCTCGAATTTCATTACTAGAAGTTGGATACACTGTTCTACATTGTTTTGACATTTGACAAACATCACAAATTAAACTCTGACTTGGAATGCCCTTAAACAATTCCGGAAACAACATTGCTAATGAAGAGAACGACACATGACTTATTAGCCTAGCATGCGATAGGTGCAGCCTAGCTATTGACTCCACACTTTCCGGACTAGTACCAGCAGAAGCTTGTAGGGCTGAGCCGATGTCTGCATCAAAATAGTAGAGGCCTCCATACTCATGACCACTCCCAATCGTTCTCGTCAATCTGTCTTGGAAGACACAATGAGTAGGGAAAAAAGTTATACTACAGTTCAAATTTTTTGTAAGCTTTGAAATAAACAACAAATTTGAGGTAAGACTAGGAATATGTAGGACTGATTTAAGAGAGAGGTCCTTGCTTAGGTCAACCACCCCCTTTCCAGAGATGGTGGAGAAAGACCCATCAGCCACTCTCATCTTATCCTGGCCAGACAACAAGTGATAAGAAGAGAATAAGGAAGACATATGTGTCAAATGGTCAGTTGCTCTGGAATCAATCACCCAAGAAGTGGAATCAATGGAGCTAGTTGCACTAAAGGCAGAGACTGTACCTGATCTGGAAAGAGAGGTGGAAGCAAAAGAATTGTTTTTTAGACGGGCTAATGCCCGGCTGGGAACCTCTACCTCACTAGCCGTGAAGCCCCAAGTACCAACTCCAGAGGAGTCAGCAACCTGCCCTATGGAGGAAGAAGACACTGTTGGAGTACTTTGTGAGTTGTCACCACTGTTGTTGTTGGTGGCAAGATTCCCACTTGTCGTATGTCCCTTATGTTGTCTCTTGTCCTTTCTCAATGCAGCTGGCTTCAGATGAGGATACAGGACCCAACATTTTTCTTTTGTATGTTTCTCACCACCACAGTGGGTGCACTTGAGGGACTTCTTGTCTGGATATCTGTTTCCCTTAGTGGAGACTTGGGCTGAATGTTCTCCAAATAGTTCAGTTGACAGTGTTTGAGAATCAACTTGCATCTCCTTTCTCCTGACTTCTTCATTTCTCACTAGGTAATAGACATGGTGTAGCTCCGGTAATTCATTTCTCCCTAGAATTTTGTACCTTATACCCTCATACACTGGGTCTAGGCCAGCTAGAAACTTGAAGGCTCTGCTCTTTTCAATTTGCTTTTTATGTCTCTCCTTGTTCCTGGCATTTTCCCAATCCAATATCAAGTGATGATCAAACTCATCCCAAAGGCCTTCCAGAGTTGCAAAGTATGTTGCAACCGTAATATCTCCTTGCCTTAGAGCTGCAATGTCTTGGTTCAATCTGTAGATTCTAGCATTGTTCTTTTTCTGGCCGTAGGTCTTAGATACCTTTTCCCAAATCTTAGTAGCTATTAGGGAAATGATGAACAGTTCTGGCAACCCGAGGATTCATGGAGGCCAGCAACCAAGACATGACTATGGCATTTTCCTTGCGCCACACGGCATGCTCAGGACTGCCGACTTTAGGTTCCTTCTTGTCCCCATCTAAATAGCCTGTGAGATCACGGGAAGTAATGAAAAGTCTTGCTGAGATGGACCACTCTCTGAAGTTATACTCATCCAGCAACACACTTGTAATCTACAAGCTGTGCAGATTAGGGTTTTCCAGGTTTGAGAACCTTGCAGCAGGTCTGTTATCTCTAGAGGAAACTTCTCCGGATAGTGTGGACATCCTGACTTCAGTCTTAGTGTAGATGGCTCTGTTTAGAGCTGGCTGAAGTGTTCACAGTGCTGGACAATCAGGTGCTGKTAGCTCGCTAGGTRGACTTCACTTGRGCTGAAGCAGTTCGGGTACAGCAGCAAGTGAGAGGTTCTGGGCTGATAATCGACTTGAAATTAGGGCTCTTTACCACTGTGCTGTGCAAGTCTTGCTGGAGCTTCGAAGCTGCAACTGTAGAAGAAGCTCTCCCCCTTTCGGCTGGTGCTAGGACTGCTGAAATCAGTCCTCAACTAGGTCTGTCCTATACAGACCTCTCTTAGTAGCCAAATAGCTACTATTTGCTGGAAATAACCTAGTAGGACATCTGCTTCTGGGTCTTACTTCCCTTGAGCCCTACAACCAAGGGAAACCCTAGGTTCGAACTTGCTTTGCTCTCTTACAACCCTAGGTTTTCACTGCAGCAACCCAGAAAAGAAGAAAGAAGATGAAAAGACAGCAAGAGAAGAGAGAGTGCGCCGGCTGAAACTAGGGAGAAGCTAATGTTCTGATACTATGTGAGCTTAGGAGCTGTATTCGAAGTAGTAGAGAAGAGAAGAAGACCTCTGAAATACTGTGAATGTCAAACTGAATAGCTCTGTCGACAATACTGTTATTTATATTAGAATGTAGTACAATGATACAAGGAATTACTGAAATGCCCCTGATTAGTGATGGGACACCTAGACAACTTAAAACATTAAACAGGMTTAGGCCCATTAACACAGGCCCAGTACAGGATAACTTAAACTTAAGTATAGGCTAATAAGAACTCTTATCAGCCGAACACTCATACATAAAGAGACTTCTGATTGTTTAGTCAATGGTATATCTTGGATTAGGATGGAAGACAACTTGTACAGGCGTAGCATTTCTTTTAATTATGCCTAACTTGAGGGGGAATTTTAGAGCTACCAGTTTAGAGATAGTTTTGTCTACTCATAATCTTTTACTAGTGAGGTACATGTATTAATCATTAGTATAAAACCTAATAAGGTGGCTGGTATACAGAACTTTTTTCCCTCTCATTTTTTTTTCTCTTCTCATCTCTTCCTCTCTCTTTCTTACTTCTCTTCTTCTACCTTTCTAATATCATATTTCTGATACTAAAACATCACAATTCCTGCATCAATATTCATACTAATATATGTAAATTGCAATACAACACTTAATTAACCTAATGACTACAAGTCCTTATAATAGTAACTCTCAACATTCTCTTCTTCTGTTCCTTTTTATGACATATTGTTCTGTACTTTAATTTTGTGTTCTCCTTTTGTGTAGATCCTGATATTGCTTGTATTTCCCAAGTATGTTGGGTCAGCAAATTATGCAAAAAATCTATTACGAGCATCGATTCTTTTACAATACATACCCAGGCTTTTCAGGTGCTTGCCTTTGCTTGCTGGTCAATCGTCAAATGGCTTCATATTTGAATCAGCATGGGCCAACTTTGTAATCAATCTTCTTGTGTTCATGCTGGCTGGACATGTTGTAGGATCGTGTTGGTACCTACTTGGGCTACAGGTGGGTTGCGTCACTTTTGATATGAACAGATAGAATTGTCGAATACATGTTTTTTCTATATCTTTATGCACATTAAAATACTGAAGCCATGAAGCTGTTCTCATGAGATAATTGGATGGTTATGCATTTGGCAATTGACTTTCTTGATAATATCTTTTTCTATTCAACTATCATATTGATATTTACAGAATCTAAGTGTATGCTGGGGATGATATAATAGCTAATAAATAATTTGTGGAATGTTTGATACACCTAGGGAAAAGGTGCTTATTTTTGTTTATATTATGATTGAATGTAGCTATTTGTGGCAGAGATTTGCATATTTTTATTTGTTACTCCACATTTTTTACATTGCAACCATAAGTCCAGCACGTACTTCATGATAATTCAGTTTGGGTGGTCAAAACAATAAACCTACTTCCTCAGGTAAGCCCCACATATACTTTCCTTGTTTTTGTTAATGAAAGAAGAAAGAAGAAATTTGAGACTAAGAAAAGAAAAGAGTGAAGGTGGACTATGATCATTACATTTTATTCAATGTCTTAACCATTATACATTCTAAATACCCAACAAATCCAATTTACCTTAAGGCTTGTTACGATATTTTCTTATTGGTCACTCTCTTGCTCCCTTAGGCTGTGTTTGGTTTGAAAGAAAAGGTAGGGAAACCTGTAGAAATCTTGTATTAGGTTTTTCCTTTTCTTTCAAACCAAACACAACCTTAGTGGATGGTTCTTTCTCTCTACCATTATCTATAGGTATCCTATCCACCTAACCTTCAAGGTTTAAAATGTTGGTGTCAGTGGAAATGTTGGTCATCCAAATGTAGGAAACATTTCATAAATGTTGGAAATATTGTATGGAAATAGTGTAAAAATTATAGACATGGTGGAAACATTATGAAGTACGCAAAAATATATAATGGTATTTTATGAAATGATAAAATAAGCATGGAAACTCCTTTTTAAATTATTTTCTTGTTCCAAATCATTAAGCAAAACTAAGAAACTAAGGTTGTAGACAAAATAGTATGTTGTGAAGTTGTCTTGTAAGCCTCATGTGGTTGAAACTTCCAGTGAGTGTACCATGTATGCTTTGGCTTCTTACAGTAATCAAATACAGAGTCTTTTTCCCCATCTGAACTGTCAACCTTACTGTAGTAAGGTTTAGATTTGGCTATTTTCATAGCCAAATTGTCCAAGGGAGGTGTCTGGAGCATGATTTCCTCCAACTTTCCTCACTGTGAACTAGGGTGTAGGCTTGAGAAAGTGATAATCACTTTGTGTGAGAATGTGTTGTCTAGTAATGGCTTACTCTTGATCTAGCCCAATTAAAAACTTATTGTGGGTTGCTTTATCCTCCTACAACTTCCATTCCAGGGTCTCTAGTTAGTCCATCTCCTCCCAGAGTGATTTCAGTGTAGAGAAATACAAAGTCAGAGACATATCTCTGTGCTTCAAAACATTAACCTACATCCTTAACTGATATACTCTGTCTACATCAAGAGATGTGAATATGTCTACAATACTATCCTAGACATCCTTGCTAATTGTAGAGACAATGAGAAGATCTAGCCATAGGGCTATTTTTGTACTTTTACTTCTTTTGTTGTACATCTATTTTATGTACTCTTTCTTTTGTACACTAAGGGCAGATTTGTCCTTTTACTTTCTTTAATATAAATCTCTTTTAGGGTGTCGATAGTGACCATGTGACACACCTACCAATCTGCTGTGTTCTCTTCTCTCTCTGTCTTTTTTATCTGACTTTGACATGGTATCTGAGCAGGTCACGATCAGATCTGCATATAACCTATTTTGAACTCTTTTCTTTTCAGCTATCTAGAGTACTCCCTAACAGTATTTGAGAGGCTCTCGAGTGCCCTTGAATCCCTCCTCTAGGGCATCTCTTGATCAGAACTCTATAGACATTTTTTTGGACTGTTGTGCCATCAGATTTCTTTTTTTTTTCATTGGATCTTCTTGTAGAGACATTGGATCAGGCTGAAACTTTAGATCTGGTGTCGCCCAGAGCAGATCTACTTATTCGAATTGGTTTGGATTGGATCGGATTTGATTAAGAAGGGTTTTGAGCCACTTCTGAGTTTGGCAGACTCTTATAGTTTCCTTTTCTGGATATTAGTTGAAAGGTATCTCTTTCATTATTCTGATTTGAACCATATCTTTTGCTTAGAAGTGTGGTTTTCTATCTCTTGTGATTCAATGGCATTAGAAAGGATGGAGGTTTTCTCTATTAAGTTTATTGGTATGAACTATGCACTATGGAAGTTTAATTTTCAATTTCATGTCGAGGCAAAAGGTCTTTGGGGATATCTGGATGGATTAGTACCTAAACCTGATGATTCAGATATTAAGGTCATAATTAGTGGAAGATTGATAATGCGAAAATCACATCATGGATCCTAGGATCAGTTGAAATTGACATTGTAATCCCTATGAGAGGATACAGGACTGCCTATGAGATGTATGAGTATCTTGAGAATGTATATCAGCAATCAAACACCTCTAGACAATACCAGATAGAGGTTGACATCTTCTCATACTACCAGGGAGAAAGGATGGTCCAGGAATACTATGCATGGTTTATTAATCTCTGGACAAAGTATGAGTTAGTTCACATGGGAAAGGATCTGTCAGAATGTTGCATGAAGTATATAAAGGAGCACTTTGATAGAAGGAAGATTATGCATTTTCTAATGCATCTCAGGCTTGAGTTTGAAGTTGTCAGATCAAATATCCTGAACCGAGGAACACTTCCTGACTTGGATATTATTCTTGGGGAAATTCTGAGAGCTGAAGCTAGATTTGCTACACAGATTATTCTGGATGGGAGAAAAGATTCTAACATTAATACTGTCCTCCTGGCAACAAAATCAAAGGGGAAGGACTTCTCTAAAGTACAATGCTATGAATGTAAGGAATTTGGCCATGGTGTCTCCCATTGCAAGAAAAAGAGTACATGCACTTATTGCAAGCAGTTCGGCCATATCATTACTGAATGCCCTACTCGGCCTTAGAAAAGCGGTGGATCCAATTGGAAGAAAGTAATCTACAAGGCCTATCAGACTGTTGTAGATGGATTAGATGCCTCATCCTCCATTACTTCTGTGGTTGGCCAAAATGACACTTTTGGTGGCATGTCTGAAGAACGGATTTGACAACTCTTGTCCTTGGTCATCTCCTCAATCTTCTCTGCTATTGGTCTGTTTGGTAAGTCACCAACCTATTGTTCCTCACCAAATCACCTCTAGTACATCGACTCAGGAGCCTCTAATCATATTATAGGGGCCACACTCGGTCAGTACTTCTGATGGTCATCTCCATTTCATTTATCTACTTCTAAGTCATCTCCGTTTCATTTATCCAAAACGTTATTTGTACCCAAGCTCACCACCAATTTGATTTCTGTTGGCCAACTTGTAGAGGAAGGTAGCATTGTCTCATTTACTTCTGATGGTTGTTTGATAAAGGACCGACAAACTGAGGAGGTGAAGGGGAAGGGGCGTAGACTGGGACGACTATTTGCTTTGGAGTTTAAGAAGAATAAGGCTTCACATGTTTCTACTTCTTGTTTGCTTTCTACTACTTTTGGTTTTGAGTCCTTCAGTTGTAATAATGATTGGCATTTGTGGCATAAATTGTTGGACAGTTTTGTATGCCCTTAGCTTCAATCAGAATGATGTACTTTATGAGTTTATTGTAAATGAATAAAAGTGCATATTTGATTCATGTTCC